ACAAAGGGGTTTCTGGCCTCTCCCTTTCTCTGTTCTCATCTATCTTTCTCCAGTTTCTTCTGCATAGAAGATAAAGGGGGTATTGATGGCCCTTGGGATAGCCTGGAAGAAGGGCTGTCGCTCAGTGGCAGAGCACATGCTTTGCATGCAGAAGGCCCCAAGTTCTACCTTGGTGTCTCTGGTGGGAGCAGATGTTGGGAAGCACTCCAGGCCTGGACAGCTCCCACCAAATACCAAGCTAGCTGGACTGCCTTAACATAAGGCAAATCCCTAGAGATGTCACCCATTTGTAGTTCCCGATCCACCAAATAAATACTAAAGGTAGTTAAAAGATTCCCTTCTCCCATATGAACCTTGCCTTTTGGCTGAGATCTGTGACATAGACCCTGGGGAATGTGCCCCTATCTTCTGAGGTGAGCACCAGAGACAATGGAATGACAACCTCCACCACCACCACAGTTTTAAGTGCCAGGTGAGATACCTGCAGTAACAATGGTAAAACATTTGGAATACTGGAAAGCACTTTGCAAACGATACGCATTTGGTTGTTTTGGTTAGAAGGGTTAAGGTGGCTCACCTTTGAGACTACGTGCTGGATGTCATTAAAGGGCAGCAAACAGAGCTGATGCCATTTCTAAGTTTTACTGGCCTCCATTTGGATTCCCAGCCTGCCTCAGGTGCCCGAATGTCTTGGGCAGTCTCCAGAGGGAGGACTCTCTGCTTGGAATACAATTTGACTTTCTCCTGATACCCCTCCCCCTTTTGCTTCCCTTCTATGCCCAGCTGAGAAACCCACCACATTGGGCGGCAGCTTGCGTCCCGGCAAATACTTGACATTCTCATGCTGCGTGTTGATGATCTCCGTGAGCTTCTTGCCTCCCACTTCCTCTTCAAACACCCACATGTTCACTGTGTTGTCGAATTTGTCCAGCTGGGCTGCATTGCTACCCACTATCTTGGCAATAGCCGAGCCCCTGCAGGAGGAGGAGAGAGACAGCAGCAGTCAGGAATGAAGGGTCCAACCTCTGCGTGGGCTGCCAGGGGACTCTTTCCTCTCCGGAGAGCATCAAAACTCCATCACAGGGCCCTGGCATAGGACTGCATGGAAGGGGGCCACTGCATACCTGCTTCCAAAGGATTAAGAGGCTTGATTTTTGTTCTAAAAGGAGCTGAGAGAGGCATGGAGTTTTTCTCCTCCCAAAGTAAATGATTAACAACACACTTTAAAAAAAAATGAACCTTGAAATAGTAAACATGAGCAGTCACCTAAGAATCATATTTAAAAACTCAGGGGAAGAATCTGGAGCATGCAATGTCTATGGTGGCATAATCTTTTGCAGGGGAATCTGTGATCAATGCACTTAACCAGCAGTTCTGAACTTGGAGTCTCTGATGGGAACTTCATTGAGGAAATGTCTGAGTTTCTGAATGAATGAGTGAAAGAATGAAATAATGACAGTTAAAACGGTCTGAGGTGGGGACTGGCTCCCAATTACCAGGGGTAGTAGGATTACCATTCATGGGAAAGAGGTAAGAAGGACACTGATTGTAGATAAAGACGAAGGCCTCTCTCTTAGACACCTCACAAGCAGGGAACCAGCAACTCCTAGTCAGAGGGGATGGGCTAAAATCGATGGCAGAGAATGGCTAGGATCAGCTAGAAGGCCATTTCCCACACTGAGGGACCATTTTACACACTAGTATCTGTTTCTACAGTGCGGGGACTCAAGCTCTCTAACCTGGAAACCTTTGTGCCTGGTATCAGGAAGTTCAATGTAGCCAATCATTGGTGCAGGGAAGGCAGTTTGTACATGTTCAATGCGCCCTGATTGGCATGCAGCATAGCCAAACCCTGGCACTGAAAACCACTTGCAGATCTGGCCAGTTGTGGATGAAGCTGAGCACTGCACGGCTGAAAAGCGTTAAAAGGATGCACAGGGAGAAAAATGCACTCCCTGCAGCTACCATTCTAGAAGTGGTGCCAGAAAGGGACCTGCCACGCCCAGTCTGACAGGAAGGCACTGTAGCTTGGAGTGGCAGGATGCTTCTTTCACAGGGCTAGGAAGGGGGCAGGAGCAGTGTTCCCTCTAAGCTGACTTAGGGTGAGCTAGCTCACAGATTTTAGCCTCCAGCTCACAAATTTTAGTCTTAGCTCAGGAAAGATGGCTCCAGAGCAAACTGATTTATGTAGCAGCCAAATCACTCACTCACAACTTTAATGCCAGTAGCTCACAAAATAGAATTTTTGCTCACAAGAGTCCACAGCTTAGAGGGAGCATTGGTTCCAGGAGCACCCAGTGTCCACACAGAGGAAGAACATGACCTTAGCAAGAAACCTCCAGTTTCTGGGAGGGGTTGAAGCTAGGGTACACACAGGAGAGAAAGAGCCCGGGGTCCCACTCCCATTCCATTGCTTAGGAGCCGTCTCATCCAATTGATTGTACCGGTTTACACGGCAGAAGCCACTTTGAGTCTTCTTAATGAGAAAGGCGAACTATAAGTAACATAACTAAAAATCAATAGAATAAAAACCCTGGGATGTGACTCCTTTGTGGTAAAACAACCCCCCCCCCCATAATTTTGGGTTCGGTTACAGCAGAAACCACAGGGGGGGGGGACCTGTCAAGAGACGCAGAGTATTCTCGTCCACACATGCGCTCCCCAGTTGGCTGCACAGGCCAGGAAGCCGGAGCTGGTGTGGGGTGTGGGATGGGGTGTGAACCAGCCTTTGCGTTATGAAGGGATGATTTTTAAGGGGGCGAAAAAACCTTTGTTGACCAGGCACCGTCTGCTTTTCATTGGATCACAATCGCTCACCTCCCAGATTGTCCTGACCAGCGACCAAGGACCGCTATAGCGCAAACACCGCGCCCTATCTAAGGAGCTCTGCAGTACACCGGAGCGGCTGCAACGGGCTACCACGGCCGGCCACCCCGCTGGGATTTGCCCCCTCCGTCTCCTTCGTGCCTCTCGGCGGCCCGCCAGCCACCCCACCCCACCCCTTCCCCGCGCCTGGCCCCCCCAACGCACGCACCAGTTGCCGGAGCCCACGATGCAAACTTTCTTGCCACCCATGGGATAGGAGGGGGTATGCGGCAGTAGCTGCCCACCCAACAAAGAAAAGAGGCTGGCGGCAAGGGGGGAAGAACACATTGAAAGAAATTCAACTTTTTTGATACCCCGGTCCAGTGTGCCCTCTAAGCTGAGTTAGCGTAAGCTAGCTCACAGTGTTTTAGACTCCGGCTCACACATTTTTGTCTTGGCTCAGGAAGGACGGCTCCAGAGCAAACTAATGTATGCAGTAGCCAAATGGCTCACTCACAGCTTTAATGCCAGTCGCTCACAAAGGAGGATTTTTGCTCACAAGACTCCACAGCTTAGAGGGAGCATTGCCCCGGTCAAGGGTGTAGACTTTCCAATTTCCCGGGGGGGGCTGGGGCTGGGCCAGAGGCATTGCTTTGCTAGGAGCAAGGGTGGCTCCCGGGGGAGGCTGAGTACCTTCCTGAAAATTTCGGCGGGGGCTGAAGCCCCGCCGCCCCCACGAAGATTACGCCTATGGCCCCGGTCCCACACTGGTCTGACTTTTCATAAGTTAGGCAAAAAGGCTGAAAACTGTCATACTTTCTAAAGCAGTTCCTTCCCTCCTAGGGCCCTCCAATCCAGTCTGAATGGCTGGATTTAAATGCAGATCCTCCGCACTTTCCCCTGTAAATGTTGTGAAGAAAGGGGGTCAGCAGACATTCGAGTTCATTTGGATTTGGGATTTTGTAGCATTTAACCCCCCCTCCCACTGAATCACTCCTCCTATCACATTGGTGTGCCTGTGTTTAATTTATAGCAAGTGTCCAGGCTACTGGGCCTCCTTGTGCAAGGCTCCTGTCAAACTTGCCACCTTTGTAGCCTACGGGGCCCCTCTGGCCTCGATAGCAAAGGTCGGGGTAGAAATGCAAGAGCAAAGCACATCTCTTAATCTCCACCTGATAACGAGTGAGTGGGGCACACTCAGGCACCAGCAGGTGACCTTTGGAACCAGAAGCATGACTAGCCAGCCCCAGTGTTCAGAGGAAACACAGGCATGAGCTCCTGCCATCTAGATAGGAACCCCCACCTCCAGTGCTCTTGCTTTGGAAGAGTGTGTGTTGGTGGGGGGGACGACATTCTTCCCCCCCAAAAAAACCCTTTTATTTGGATATATCAATAAGTTCAACATTAAGTCACATTTCATTAATCCCATATCCATTTCTTTTATCTCCTCCCCCCCCCCTTTGGTGGCTTCCCGCAATGCTCCTCCCTTCCTTCTCATTTTACAATTCCCTTTTTCCTTCCCATTTTCATTTTACATTTCAAGGTAATATTATCTTATTTAATATATTCAAACCTTTCTGAATTTCGACCCTTAATAATTATCTAAACAAAGTAAAGTAGATTTCACATCCCAATTGTTTTCTAAATATTCTTTAAAGTCTTTCCATTCTTCAAAAAATTCTTTATCTTCTTTGTTATTCAATTTCTTTGTTAATTTGTCAATTTCTGCCACAAATAGCACTTTCTGTATCCATTCCCAGTTATCAGGTATTCTGTCCTGTTTCCAAGATTGTGCATAAGTCATTCTAGCTGTGGTAATTAAATACCACAATAATGTCTTTTTTGTTGCATTTACTTCTTCCATCTTTAGCCCTAGAAGTAGTATCTCTGGTTCTTTTTTAAAAGTACATTTCAGAATTTTCTGCATCTCCTCATAAACATTTGTCCAAAAAGTCATGGCTTTATCACAAGTCCACCACATATGATAAAAAGAGTCTTCTTTTTTTTTTACATTTCCAACATTTGTTAGACATATTTTCATTCTAAATGAAATCCCAAACCACATTTAACTACCTTTAGCAAGATGCATGCTGGAAAAAGACTCCTCACTGGAGACACAGGCTTGTCTTACAGTTCCAGAGACCGTCCAGCGGCATCTATATGATGCTTGCCAAAGGGGTCATTTCCAAGTCCAAACAAGGGGGTAAGTGAGAAAGGGCATTGCCACTCAAATGCTATCCAGAGCCCGCTGAAGAGCAGGGCTTCCATCTGAACTAGGACATCTCTCCAAACCAGAAGTCCAACATCCAGGGCTGTGTGAAGAATACCTCTGAGAATAAGCAGAATGCACGTCCCCCATATTCAGCTTCCGGCACGTAGCATATATATTTATTCCTCCTCAATGGCATCCAGATGTGGCTTTCAGAATTCCTCCATTTCACCCTCACAGCAGCAGCTCTGTCAGGTAGGTTAGGCTGGGGGAGGATGGACCGAGGTCACCCAGGGTGGGGATTTAAACCTGGATGGCCCCGATCCTAGTCTGACATTCCGACCACCGACACCACCCTTGTGTGATGATGCTTAAGCAGACAATGTGGCATCAGCTTTCACTGGGCACTGTAACTTCTTGCTCTTACTGGTAACTCCATACCCACTACCAAAACATTAACACTCACCCAGCTAGCCCATCTAACAGGCTGGCTAAGAGAGAACCGCATCTTTCTACTAGGCTACTATACATGACTACTTTAGCAAACTTTGTAACTTCCACAAAGAGGGGATTCAAGCTATCGGGGAACACACCTTAGCCTCCGTCCTTTCACAGCCTGCATTTGAATGTTATTGAAGTTCTACGGCTCAGTTTCCCAGAGCATAAGAAAGGGGACGAAGAAGACCTAGCCTAGTTAGGTGTGTTGCCCTAAGTAACAACTAGTGAATGCTTGCCAGTAAGTCAATAACTTGTGTAAGAATGTTAACAAAGCCCTTTGTCATTCTTATTCAGCTTGAGAACACCCCTATCTGGTAAATCAATACCATTTCCATGTTACAGATAGGAAAGGGGGTGGCAGTGTCCAGTCTTGTCATAAATTCACAGCTTGGCTCTGAATCCAGGTCACAGCCCCAAGTTCTCAGCCAGCTGCCGGCTGCAAAGTTTCACTATGCTCAGCGCCTTCAGAGTTTGGTAGCACACCAAACATGCTACAGTCCCTGAAGTGTTATGCCATTCTAATGCAAGTCAGGCTTTTTTGACCACACACAAATCAACTGTCTACTTCTCCAAAAGGAACGGATCAGTGCCAATGTTTTAGAAGAGAACACAGCAGGTGGGAGATGGAGAAACTATCTAGGACTTGAAAAGGGCTTTAGCTGAGCTTGTTAAGACAACATAGGTTAAAATGTCATTGAAATGACATATCCAACACCCTTTTCAGTGACACTTGTGCATCTATGTGTGATGTTACCCAGCAGCTCCCACACCTTCTGTGATTCCAGCATGTGAATCAGTCTGATGGAGTACTGCGGTGTACTTGAGCCTGCGTATGAACACCCACACATGAATTAAGATCATTTTCAAGTACATCCTTCCTTCCGTTTAATTTACCTCCTAAACACTATGTGGAGCTGTGGTGGCTCAAGTGGTTAAGACGCTGAACTGCAGGCTGTGGAAGGTCAGTAGTTCAGCAGTTCGAGACCTGGGTGCCGCATGACGGAGTGAGCTCCCGTCTCTAGTTCCAGCTCCTGCCAACCTAGCAGTTTGAAAGCAAGAAATTGCAAGTAGATAAATAGGTACCACTTCGGTGGGAAGGTAACAGCATTCCGAGCGCCTTGGTGTTTAGTCATGCCGGCCACATGACCATGGAAACGTCTTTGGACAGCGCTGGCTCTTCGGCTTTGAAACGGAGATGAGCACCGCAACCCTAGAGTCAGATTCGACTGGCTTTCGAGCAAGGGAACCTTTACCTTTAAACACTATGTAAGCATAGAATAAAAACCCTCCTTGTATGCATCCTTGGGAAGAGAGATAAAATGCAACCACAGAACAAAGCTCTGGATCACTGATCTGAGGGCAATGAGCAGGTGATATCCTCTGGCAGCTGGAGAACCCAATCAGGGAGAGAACGGTCTATGGAAGTTAGAATGGGCATCTATTACTACCACAGCAACAGGAGCCTGTGCAGCCTCTCTCTTGGCAGAAAGTACGTTAGTCGCATAGGAAACTAGTTTTCCTTTCGTTCATTTCCCCCCACCCTGCCCCAAACACAAACTGTACTACAATGTAGAATAGCTAACACAGACTACAGCTGGGGAATACTACTTGAGAGCTCCTTTGTATGTTCCCCACCCCCAGCTAGAAGACACAGGCCCATTAAGGACAAAGACTGCTGCACCTCCCTTGCTGTGCAGTGCTCATTTTACATCTGCAGGGACTTTTCAAGACTGGGAAGAGCTTAAAAATCATTACCTGTCTGCACTCTGAAATTGTATGCTCCATTCTACCATCTCAATCTATTGCATACACAGGCTAGACTTTAAAGCTTTGGCCTGATGGAAGCCCACACCACTACATAGAGGATCCCACCTTAAAGGTGCGGACAAGATGACCTTATGCCACCTTCCAAGTATACATTCCAAGGCCCTGCCAATCCAAGAGATTCACTGGCGGCACTTATCCTATACACTGAAAGACCTTCAATAAGATTTAGTTCTTAAAATGCTTTGGGCTACGAGAAACAAATACAAAGGCAACCACCGCCATCCTTTGGGTGGCACAGGGACAGCTCAGTCCAGAAGGGTGCTACATGGCGGGGCCTAACTACATGTTACAGGTCATACAAGAGTTCACCAAGAGGCCTCTTGGCAAATTCCTTACTGAATGGCATATTCCCTGAGGATTTAATTCCCAGGCATGGATGGAGGACCACGGTGTGTTGAGAGATTATATAAGCCCCTCCCCCAGGTGCTGTTTTCCTTGCCTGAAACATCCCAGGAGGGCTATTTGCTCTGTTCAGGACTTCACCCAATGGAGCAAACACCACCACACTGGGGCCATTTCAGGTGGGGAAAATGGCAGGGGTTAAAAGAATTTAGCTGCCCCTTCATGTGCCTGAATCAGGCACCTGAAAACTGAGTTCGTGGTGGAAAACCTGCAGTGCATGTCTGACTGACAGGCCTTGTGGAGGTTCTGGAAACAACCCAAGGAGTGTGTAAGATGTAGTTAAGCCCTCAGAACTTCATCCGCCCAAAGAACCCAGCTCTACCCAGCCAAAGTCCTCCTTGGCTCAGGATAAATCTTCTTGCACAAGATCAACACACGAAACTTTGGGTGGAAAAATCCACCATTTAGTCATGCCAACTGTGAGCAAGGCAAGCTGCTAAAGTAGGCAAAGGAGTAACTTTGTGTGGATTCTTTTCCTCCCCAAGATCACCACATCAGTCCTTGGAGAAATCCAGTTTTTAACCCCTGTACGTGGTCAAGGCTCCTAACAGGGGGAGGGGGGAGGAGGGGACCAAAGGGTGATAAACAAGATTCCCAACATATGTGCACTGTTCCCACCCCATAACACCCCCCCCCCAACATGACTCTTATCAAGCATCCATGTGGATTCAAGTAGCTTACTCACAACGCCTTTACCAAAACTATCTTTGTTCCGGACATGGACAGCAAAGACTACCTGCCCTTCCTATGGGTTGGGAAATGGCTACCATTTACCCCGCCCCCGTCTCATCTTCCATGGAAGAAAGGGTAGGGCCTCGAGAGGGGAGAGACAGAGACCGCCCCTTCCTGGCTTCTACCCTTGCCTCAGCATTTTCAGTGGAACACCTGAGCATGTATTCAGCAGTCAAAGGGGTTCTCAAACATATTCCTCTGCTAGGCAACCGATTAAAAAGGTATTATCTTGTAACTGAACAGAAAAATCAACCAACACAGGAAAGCCCGGAGAAACTAATCAAATCTTTTTTATTCTGCCACATATATAAGCACGCAGACCCTCCCCCCTTTGACCCTTGCCTCTAACAAAAAGCCAGCAATAAAGCACACAGGGACGGGTAACACCTTCATTCAGAGGCAGCTTTTTTATTTAAAACTGGGTGACATCTAAAAGGACACAGTACAAAAAAAAATTTGGACCAAGGGGAATGGGGGGAGGGGGGGGAAGAACCACAAACACAAAGCATAATAAGAGAGCACTTAAAACAACTACACTTTGCCAGCCAGCCAGTCTCTGAGCTTCCTTCATCTATACTTGCCCTGAGAGCCTGTGGCAGCTACAGAGGGCACCAGGGTTCTAATCCCTGGTACCACAAAGCGGGGGAAGAAGGGGGTAAGAGGGCAAGGTGGTCTTTCGTATGGCAAAGACAAGACAGAAAGGGTAGACAGCCCCCAACTCTTAACACAGACACACACACGCACACAGAGGATTAGGGCCACCCAGACACCTGAATTCAAAGCAGTCCCCAGCCTCACTTCAGAGATGGCTGCCGGGGGGGGGGGGGGATGCAAGAATTTCTGCGCCTAGTGTCAGAGTACGAGCAGCTGGGACCTGTCCAGCTGCATTAGAGTCCCAAAAATCAGTTCAGCAGAAAGATCCTCTCCCCCACCCTCAACCCTGCCACAAATCAGCAGGTGCACAAGACCAAAAAAATACATGCGAGAGGTGAGCCCTGTTCATTTTGCTGATCATCACCTCTGCTGCATTCTCCCCAGGTCAAGGACACCTGCCTCTGTATCCCCCCACTCCCTGTCTTAAAGGTTGCCCCAGAAACCTGCTCTGTGCCAGTCAGCTGAGGAAGGCGGAACGAGAGCAAGCACAGCTTGGAGGAGCCTTTCAGCCAACTTCTGTGTGCCCAGAGCACTGAGGGGGAGGGAAAGAAGCAAGGAGCTGGGATGAAGATGCTTTGTCCTTTAAAAGGCAGTGACCTGGAGTCACCACGACAGCCCAGAAACAGGCCCAGAGCCTTCTGACAACTCCCCCTGTCCAGAAAAAAGCACCCCCCCCCCAATAAAAACAGGTAAGACAGGCTTGCCATGACTTGCAGACTCTGTGCCAACCTTGCTGCCTTTTGGTTCCTGGCAAGAAAGCCACGTATAAAGGGGGGGGGGGATTCCATCCTCTCCCAACAGATGCACCAGCACATCACTCCCCACCCCTTAAGGACCAGAAAGCATAGGGAACTCACTGCAAGTGGTGCCTGCCCGCTGCCCCTCATTGCTCCAGACCTGAGGGGGAGCTGCACAGACCTGTGTTCACCTGCAACATCCAGAGGCAATGTGCAGCAGAGCCGTCCAGCCTCACTGATTTGGGGGAGGTGGGACTGGGGAGGGGGCACTGAGGGATTGGCAAGGAGGTCCTGAGCTTGCAAGGCTCTCAACGGAAGCTGTCCTGAGTGCAGAAGAGCTTCAGCTAGAGCCAAGGCAGGAGAGAGCCCTGGGGCTCTGAAGGCAACGATCAAAGGAAGGAGGCCTTTGGCCTGCCTGCTGACCACGCTCCTCCCCGAGGGAGGAAACACAGCAGCAGAGAAGAGATGATGGTGAAAGGGATGGGAGAGCGGTGGTAGGTTCTGTGCTGGAGTGGGAATGGCGTAGGCCTGAGCAGTGAATCCCTGCAGTGTTTGGTAGCCACAAGACCTGCTGGCTAGGGAGAGGCAGGCCCCGTCTATGTGTTGCGGATTCCCAGAGCCTGTTCGAGCTCCTGCCACTGGTGAACCTGCGAGAGGAGGCAAAACGACAGCATTAGTGCAGCTATAGTGAGAACTGCAGCTCCTCAGAATCTGGGATGTCTCCCAACCAGGAGCCAGTAATAAAAGGTGCAAACCCAGCAGCGGCTTTTATAAGACCCTCTACACCTAGCATGTACAGCTGCACTTGGAGGTGCCTCTGATAATCCAGTGCGCTCTTGCTTACAAGCATTTGTTGTATTAAGTGTTCCTTAAGCCCTAAAATGTCACCTCATTTGAAGTATTTCTGGTAACCAGAACTTGCCAATATGCAAAACACAAGTTGGAGAAGTATGAAAGTTCTCCAGTGGCTCCAACTTATTATAATACCTTTAATGCCAATAGTGCCTTCGGACGGGACATCCATACGGGCAATCAGGATGGAGGTGGCCTTCCAGAACGGAAGGAGTGGCATTCTATGATCCCAGCTTGAGATGGGAGCTGTCCACCCCTCCCTTATTACAGGAAAATCACAAGGGCCAGGATGCTTCACCTTTGAGTAGAAGTATCTGCACACAGCCTCCTGAGCCCACGGCTGGAAATAGAATTCAGCTCGGCGCTCCTCTTCTGGATTCCCAACTACATCTGTCATAGTCTAGAGGGGAAATGGGGAAACAGTTACCCATCTGCCCAAACTGGAGCAGAACCCCAACCCCTGCTTGAAGCTTTCTTCCTTCTGATACAGTGGGAGGTGCCAGTCTTTAGACTGGAGGCCTAGCAACAGCCAGACAAGCCTTTTTTGGGGGGGTTCTCCCTCTCGGGCTTCTCACTTTCAGATCCCGGCACTGGGACTGTAGCCAGTCATTGATGAAGCCTTGGGGGTCTCTGGCAAAGCTCAGCATGAATTCCCGCTGGGTCTTCAGCTGGTTGATGGTTTCTATGGTCTCATGGATCTGTGATGTAGAGACACAACAAACATTAGGAAAGAGGTATAACTATAGGCTACTACAGTATTATTTCAAAGTCCATCTAGTGGCTGGTTTTCAAACCATCTGCTACACAGTTTCATACGTAGGGCAGGGAGCAGTCCAAATCACATCCAGGAGTTAAGTGTTTTGCCTCTCTGCTTTTGTTCCCCATGCAAAAATCTTCTGACTAAGTCAGGGTTAAACACATTTATGCCATTAGACTGGAGTTTCCCACTGAAATGAAACTAGCAGTTCAATACCATGCAGATTCGCATCAGTCTAAGCCCATTGAGATCAGTGGACTCAAGAGTGGTGCAATTCTCCAAAGGGTTTCACTGTAAGGCTGCAATCCAAAGAAGTGTTATTAGGCAATAAGTACCATTAAACTGAATGTAGCTTAACTCTTAAGTTTAAAAAGTGTGTCATCAGCTTGCCACTTAAGTCATCAGCTTGCTACTCTGGGTGGACTCTTGGATTACAACAAAAGCAGCAAGGAGGAGACTCTTTATGGCTGACCCAGATGTGTCACATGTTTCTCCAAGCATATCGTCCCCTCCAAGTCTGTTCTGTCCTGTATAAAGTGGTGGATCCTCCAACTGTTGCCCCAGAGTTTGAATCCAACTAATCAAGAATCTGCTTTGTTTCAAGCTCTTTAGGACTATGGCTGGGCAGCCTTCCCAGAGTCTTGGAAAGACTGTTGCTAGGCCAGGAGTCTGGGAAATTCAGGTTAGGTTTTCAGGACAGCCAGAGACACCCTGAATTGTTGGGGGGAGAAACGATGAAGTCCCCCTGGTTTTCACTGGGTAGCACTTTAGAAGGCAACGTCAAAGTTATGCTGCTTAGAGACCACATACTCGTGAACAGCTGAACCTGCCTTATACTCAGAATGGTAGCAGATCTCCAGGGTCTCACATCACTTACTCCTTGATCCTTTTAACTGAAGATGCTGAGGACAAAACCTGGGACCTTCTACATGCAAAGCAGATACTCCACCACTGAGCCATAAGTAGTTTCTTAAGTTAAAACAGATCATTTTCACTGCAATGGTGAGGACAATACTCAGTGGATGCCGGGTACCATCATGCATGTATCCCCTGATTCCGACATCCACCTCTTAGTACTACTTTTCTTTGCCCCTTTACAGCTCATGAATAGGTTTTGAAGATATGGATCAGGAAATGACCTGCTCAGACCTTAATACTTTCCAGATTGATGGGTGAGACTGACATGGAAGAGGACTTAGCTCGTTCCTCTGCAAGCCCCTCCAAGGTTCAGCACTCTGAGGGAGATTCCTTGGGCAGCTGAAAAGACAAGGATGGGCTGGGGAACCTTGAAACTGAAGGGAAGTAACTAGTAAGTCACTTGCTCCTCTTCTTAACAGCCACCAGGCAGTTTCTGGGTTTGCATCTATGCTCTGCCTTCACGTTGCCAGAATTCCATGTCAACTTGAAGACACTCATAGCCTGCTCCTCACTATTGGGACGTACTGCCCTCTTTGGAAGGGATTTTTTTGGGGGGACGAGATATCTTTCTGCATACCTTGAGTGGAGTTTGCCATTGCTTTGCAGAAACTTGCCTCCCCTTAATGCCTAGTCCAGCTGTGCTGCTTTGCTGATCGGCAGTGGGGCGGATAGGCTAAGGCACTTTACTATTACAGGGTGCAATGGAAGAACAAGGGACTTTTCATTACATGAAAGCGGAGCTCTAGAAGAATCCAGAACTCCCAAGTTCTCTAAATCGCTAAATATTACAGAGAGAACCCGGGTTTCTCCTCTTCTTGAAATTGGTTTGTCTGATGGTGTAATGTGAGCCATTATAACGGCTTGTTATTTCCCAAGATCTTAACACATTTTGACTGGAACGTCTTGCTGCAGGGTCCTTGGTAGATGTGATGTGCTGCTCCGCTCCTTTTCAGGTTTTTCACACACACCCCTGAGATCCCATTTGCTACATGACTGCGAGAGAGTTGAAGGTATAAATGATCACCTCTAGGAGCTCTCACCTTGTTGTCTAGAGCGGCAATCTCCTGCTGGCTGGCCGTGGAGAGCAGAAAAGAATTCATCTGGGTTTTCAAAGTGTCATCTACTTCCACGTCAATGTCATAGCAGGCGGTTTTCTTCTGGTCATTTGGATCGACGCTGGGGGAGGAGGGCAACAAGACATATACCCCAGTCAGAACTTGGTTCCGTGTGGCAAGCCTAACCACCACCAATAACTAAAGGGACAGCCGCTTAGGCTGTTGGCAAGGATTGTTCCTCCACTTCCAAAAATCCAGCCTGCTCAAGTTCTTTAACTTTTTCTTCCCTCCCTGAAAGTGGTCTAGAATGCTTCTATGTCTGGCAGATGTAACTTTCCAAAACAAACCCATTCGCATCTCTGCTGTTTTGGAAATGTCATAATGAAATATATCCTAAAAAAAAATTCTCGGAACAACCTGAAGCAAGGAGGCGTACTGAAAGAAGACCTTAAGTTCTACTATGTTCTACAAAGGGAAAAAACACCCTCATTTTTGTGCTATATTAGCATTCACGGTATTCAAAGTGTTTCACACACATTAATCTTTACACTAACCCTTATAAGGCAAGTCAGTACCATTTATACCCATTTTGCAGGTAGAAGGGAGACAGGCTTGCCTGAGGCTGTCTACTGAGATTACAACAGATGCAAGACTGCATCTTCCAAGTCACAGTTCAGCCTCTGTGCTGCAATGGTGTCTATGGGCCAGGCAAGCTCAACTCCGTTTCCTGCCACCAAGTGTCCCATCCTCACCTGATGACGTGGTTGATGATGATTGGCTCTGGAGGCATAAGCAAAGCATGCAGCCGTTGGGGGATCTCAGAGAACTTCATTCGCTGAGACTCAAATATCTGCAGGTTGAAAGGGAAGGTCAAGCAGCTCACAAGAGCCCAGCCCCGAGCATCCCTGGAAGAACTGCTGTCTTCTGCCCCACGGCCATTACCTGCTGAAGGTACTTGTCACAAATGACATACTCCCGCTCATGGGGGTCCTGCAGCTTATGAGTCTTGATGTATTGCCACAGCGCCTGGATGATCACGGGACGTGTCTGGGTGTGGATCCCCAAGAGGCGGGCCAAACGAGGGTCCAGTTTGAACTGTGGAGGCTGCAAAGGGAGGGCGGGGAACCCCAGAATTAGAAATGCATGCCACTGAAAAGAGTGTTTCCTTACTGCACTAGCTGCTTTCAGGAAAGCAAAGATACATAAGGAACCCAAACCAAGGAAATTACAAAGAGGAGAAAATCCTTTTGAAAATGTCTAGGGGGAAAACAAAACCATTTTAATCCCCACATTCAAAAATGCATTAACAGAGGAGGAGGAAGGTATTTCCCGATAAACAGGAAGAGTCTCAGCTGCAAACTGTGCCCGGTCCAAGGCATGGGCTAGTCCAAGTCCCGTGGCAGCCATTGATCTCCCAGCTGCCACTCTCCTCATCCCACTGGTCCTTCTCAAGTAGCTCTCATGGAGGCCATCCTGCTTACCTGGTAGTCCAGCATCAACAGGACAGTGCAGCGCACATTCACATCTCCGGGCCTCTTCACCTGGAAACCATCCGTCTCTTGGGTGGTTGCAGTCCTATGCCACTGAACAGTAAAAGGTTGGGTGGACGGAGGGGAAAGAGAAGAGGCAAGCACTGAGAAACTGAATAAAATACCAGTGAGAAGAAGCACAAGCAGGCATGAACATTTCTGGTGAGACCTGGGTTCAGGTACCCAACATGAAGCTTATAGGGTAACTGTGGACCAGCCTCTCGGCTAATTCATTTCCCTTGGTTTTTGGGGTGGGGTTGAAAGGAAACCTGGCTCATGGCCCAGAGCTCCTTGAAGAAAGGGCAGCAATAGCTTTCATATATCTGTTTGGAAGACTATTAAGAATATTAGTGATAAAAAACAGTCTCACCTCCACCAAATGATTGTCTGGCCCATACAGGTCCTTGTCTAGCTCAATCACCAGAGATTTAAAAAAGGATGAGAACTTCCTCTTCTGCTTAGTAGCATCATACTTGGAAAGAGCAGACTGCAAAAGACAAGAGGGAGGATGAAGCCACCGGATCCCAGTTTGGAATGATGACAGAAACAGCAACCAAACCTAGAAACAAAAGGCAGTGCTGCCTCTCTCTTTCCTAGGACAGACCGCCTTTCATTAAGGAGGAGGTAAAGGATGCTGCCGTTTGCAACAGTGACTTGCTCTCTCTTCTCTCTGAGCCAGAAATTGTACACTGACTAGGACACTGGCACCCTCCCCACAATCTTCACGTTGTCATATAACTAAGGGCTTCTTCAGGCAGGGTTAGCATGTTGATCAAGTGACTGGTCAAATATCAGTTCACCCGTGAGCTGACCACGGTTCAATATGGTTAAATATTACATGGAGACAGCCTTTTGTTTCATTATTTTTTTTAAAAAAATCATTATAGTAACATTTGCCATTAAGGACAACAGCAAGAGCTGCACCAGTCAGAAGAACCTCCAGCTGCATAGCAAAGTTTCTTCTACTGACCGTCTGCTACAATTGTAGATCTCTACAAATGGACTTAAAAAAAAGTTGCCATGACTTTTGCTTTATTTCTTTGTTAAAGGTTTAAATAGGCTGACCTGGCTGTTGCAGGGTAAAAACCAAAAAGCAGGAAGTATTCAGAGAATCATTCACATTCAGAGAAACTTTACTTAACATTTTTGAAAGTTAATAAAAGGTATCAAATCTGCTGGTGATTATAGCATCTCTTTTTGTTGTTCTAATCAAGTTAATGCTTTAAAAATACTTGACCAATATCTGATCAAAGTTTCTTCAGTCAAATTCACTGTGTCATCTTCAAGCATTATTAGATCATGTCACTTGGAAAGAAATGTTAGGCACTTGTCAACTTCCTGTCAGTTTCAACCCCTAACAAACATCTTCAGAAAAATCTATATAACAGGGAAAGCTGGTGTGAAATTGACACATTTGACCATCCACAATGACACTGACAAGAGTCTTTAGTGTTGCAAGACCAAGGCTGATTAAAAGCTTGAAGGAGCACCAAAGTTCAAGGTCAAAGGGTGAGTTTTGATCTGTTCAACCAGGACTGGATGAGCTGAGCTGTCAGATTTAATATACTGTTTCAGGATGGAGAAAATTCACACGACAATTCTGCCATGATAAATAAACTCTCGTGTACCCCACATTTCAAGAGCATTGCCATAAGCCAATTTTGGATATACAGTCTAGTTTAAGGGAAACAACTCTGCTCACACAGCCACTCTCTATCACTGTTACATGTGGAAACTCTCCCACCGGGGACATGCTCATCCCATTCGTCACTCACATCCTCTAACAGTCGCCCCTCGACTCGGAGCTCCCAGGAAGCCACCGTGCCCTCACCATCCTCTGCATCCGATTTGGCTGGATTGAAGGTATTAGAGATGAAAATGCGCAACTTCCGCTTTTGCTGAAAGGGAACACAAAATAGCTGTGGAAGCAGAGAACCACTCATCCCAATGCTTGCCTCTGCAAGCGCCCCTCTGGTCCCCAGGGCACTGGCCTGCTCACCACCCAAAAAGAACAATGTCCTTGTTCCGCATTATTGTTCAACTCTGCACTGCAGGTAAGCCCCCAGTCCTTTCTGAGGCATTTTTTTTAATGCCCCCTGGAGGGAATTTTTTATTGCATTTTTTATAATCACTACAAACTACAACAGAAAAAGGGTAAGGGACTACACTAGGGACACAGCAGAGATACCCACTAATGACTAAAAGCCCAAGAGAGGAGATCTTCTAATCATCATAAACCTACATCAAGTCTTAATCTCGTTAATCTCATTATGAATTAAATCAAATATTTTTTTTGGTTAACTCCCCCCCGTCTTAACTGACATTAATACCCCAAAGCATCTCATTTCAAAATCTTCAAAAGGCACAATTCAGAGTCCTTCAGCCTTCACTTCTCTTTTCCCAGTCTCTTCCGCAGTTTATAAGGACTTTTAGGAGCTGCTGCCCCTTTCTCTGAAAGAGAGTCCTCTCCGGAAGATCCCAAGTCTAGCTCGCCGCTGGACTTGCTGTCCGTCCCTTCTTTTTCTTCCTCCACTGGCCCTCCCAGCTGGACTCTTAAAAATTCCCGTGCTTTCAGAACAGAGTCAATCTTTTCTTTTTTATCCTTAATTTTGAAGGTAACGCCTTCTGGAATTAGCTATCTGTATCCCTAAGAACATAAGAGACGCCAATGTTGGATCAGGCCAAAGACCCATCCAGTCCAACACTCTGTCACACAGTGGCCAAAAATACCAGGTGCTAATTCCAGCACCACTGACTGCACTCTGCACAGGGCATGGTAATTTCCTTGGGTTTTGTTTTGAATTTGTTATTTTAGGAGAAGTCATCCAATTGAGTTTTTCTGAAGAAAGCGAGTTAGTTCTTTGTATTTCTTTCTCCTTTGTCTTATTTCAAATGGAATGTCTTTTAGTACTCTGATGGCATTCTCCCCGTCTCTCAGGGGTGCTCCAGATACTGCTTTCAGGATTGCATCCCTCACATGCCTCTTGAAGAATCTTACTACAATTTCCCCAGGCGGATTATTTTTCTTTATGTATCCTGAATATGACCTAAAGGCCACATCCATTTTGCTTAGCAAGAGTTCTGCCTTCATATCTGTCACTGGGGCCTATAGTTCACTCATCCTTTCCTTCAGATTCTCTCCCTTGGTCTCTGGCATGCCCTGGAAGCGAAAAATCATGTTAGCCTTTTTCATTTGTAATTGTAGCAGCTGATCTTCTGTAGAAACTTGCTTCTTTTCCAGTTTTTGCACTTTCTTCTTCACCTTTTTGCAGTGGCGTCCACTTCTTTCACCTTCTCAGCTGTTTGGTTCATCATTTGCAGAGTCTCATTTATCTGTGTTTGCTGAGTGGTGATGCACTGGGTCATTTTTGTAATCTGCTCTTTGAAGTTATTCATCTGGTCCATCAGGGGGCATATGGATTCTGCTAAAGTCTTTGCCAGCTCATTGGTTACTTTTGGTTTTGGGCTCTCAGTTACTTTCGATTTCAAAAGTTTCTCTTTTTCCGTCCTCTTCCCCGCCATCTTTATCGTTTACTTTCGCAATTTTAAAAAAAGTCTCTGAATATGCGCTCAAACTCGCCTTGGTAAGTACTCCTTGACAATTTTAACCGCGTTTTCTTCCACTCCCCCCCTCATTCGCTCATAAATTCATGCACATGGGAGGCGTCCCTCCCCCGCTCACCTGATTTTCTGTTCCATGGGATAGGGTGGGGAGCTTTCTTTTCCCTTTAATCAACGCTTAAGTCTGACTCACGTTCATAATTGGTCTTCCGACCTCGATTCCACTCCATTTCGGATGCTTAATCTCCCGTGCTTGCCTCGGTCAGCGTCACTAAGCCCATTCGGTCTTGCAACACAGAGAACCGTCGGAACGGAGAGGCGCCTCAATTCTCCGGCATTATGCCATCGAAGAGGCGACCTCTTGGAAGTTCCATGGCCAGGGTCCCTTCAGCCGGGTTCCTGGGGGGTGGCGAATCTGCGCCTTCGGCTGGAGCGCAGCTTCACCCCCGGGAGATGAGTCTGCTAGCGCGTGTCAGCTATGTTGCCATGGGGGTTGAGGAGTTCATTCTGTGTCTTGGTAATTGCTACTGCATTCCTATCTCTGCTGTTCTGCCTGTGCCGCAATGCTTATCTTTACAGATGTGCAGGAGGATGTTGTGTTGGAAGTTGTATTGTCTGGACTGATATTAACGCCTGATTCATACATCCCCACAAAAGCCAAAGAGCTGCTACTACATGACAGCTTCATGTGTCACTCTGATAATATTTAGAGGAGATTGTAAACTGCTCTGAGACTCCTTTGGGTAGTGAAGGGCAGGGTATAAATCCAATCTCCTCCTCCCCTCCTTCTTCTAAGCAGGGTTGGCCTTGGATAGTATTTGGAAGGACAACCTCCAAGGAATACCAGGGTTTGATGCAGAGGCAGGCAATGGCAAACCATCTGTGAAACGTCTCTTGCATTAAAACAAGTCTAGCTTGCCACCTAGTGGTGCATAACACTAAAAGAACTAGAACTTCTGTCTGCCAGACAATCTTAGGATCTCCTGGCTATACTACACACAATGCCATATGATGATGATGATAAGCATGCTAAATAAGCCCTGAGTCAACATGGTATTTGCTCCAAGCAACTGGGGAAACCAGGGATTATGGTTAACAAAGACTAGGGGGGAAATGGAAATTTGGATGCTAGCTTTGAGAGAGAGAAAAAGAGGCAGAACAGGGAAAACAGGATTGGAAAGGTTGCTAGTAACAGCAGGAAGGGGGGGAAATAAAAGTGATTCATAGAGTGGAGAAGTAGCCGAGTTGAACAGAACCCACTAGGAAGAAGTGCAATGCTTTCATGTACAGCCAAAGTTTGCATGTTGGCTCCTCAGAGAATGCAGAAGGAAAGTGAACTTTTGATTTAGTTGGTGCAGGAAGGGCATGCTTCATAGCCTCCTATTGACTTTGTAGAGTCTCACCTGTTTAATTTCTCCCAGCACCTAAATAGTGGGTGAGTCTTTGAAAACAAGTCTCACCATTTTAGCAGCAACAGAGTGCTAAATGGCAGTAAAGCATCTTATTTCCAGTCTCCACCAGTGTGCTCATCCATAAAGTCCAATGCCTCTATTTAGGCCACAGATGTTTGAAGGTAAGTCATACAATGATCTACTGCTCTACTGATTTTATTTTATATGGCTGAGGGAAAGACATATAGATGTGCCTCAGATTTACAGACCTTCTTCTCTGTTACCTTAATAGGCCGTTTCAAGGCTTCTTGGATATCCAAGCGCTTCCTCATGATCGTCTGGTCCAGTTTCCTCTCAAAAGCCAACAAATCCATGTATGCCTGAGACTCCGGTACTAGCTCCCGGATCTGAAATAGATACAGTCAGTGTAGCCACTGCTTTCCCAAACCATAACAGACTACAAGTATCAAAAGCCTCACTCACCCGCTGAGGTAGAATCTTATCTGCCATCTTCTTCTTCTTGGCACTGTGTGGAGACAGAAATTAAAATGATGAGATAAACCCTCAACAAAAGCCTAAGTTAACACCTTGATAATTCCATAATGAATCATATTTACAATCTGACCCACCTTAACATAAGACACTACGATCCCATTGGTTTTTAAATTTAAAGGTACCTAGGAAATCAGATTGGTGTAAGGAATTTCTTTTAGCTCTGCAAATAAAGCTGAAAGCCATTGTCTAGTTATTAGGACCTGCAGCACAAACCTAAACAGGTTTATTCTGAAGTAAGTCCGATAGTAAGCATGCACAGGAATGCAGCCAGACTGGGATCTTAATATGGGTGCATCTTTATCCCATAAAGTCTTAGCCCATTTCTCAAAAGCACCAGAAATTTAAAAGGGCCAGGGGATACCATGGGCATGCCTTCTCTTGGGTTTCTGGGATCTTTGGATCAAACTAGATGAGATGCTGGGAGATCTGTTGTCAGATCCTCACAGTATTTTTAAGTACTAAGAGAAGCTACATGGACATCTGCATTGGGATGGTGGGTGGCAGAAGGAGGATAAAACATGATCAGAAGGCCCAGCTTTTGAAGAGCAGTCTCAGTACAAATGGTGCTGTCAGATTCAGCTGGCAAAACTGAGAGCAGGGGAGGTGAGAGTTAACCCCCCCTTCCTTCCTTCCTCTTAGTGGCCCCTATTCAAATCAGGGCTCTGCACATACACGGTTTACAAATTTTGGAAGGATGTTATCATGACTCTCCCAGTATCTTGGCTAATTTCATCCTTGAATCTGCACTTGGACTGCACCGATCATGCCGAATGCATACACTGCTCCAAGCTCATATGTGAAGTCGTGGACCTGTGGCAGATGTTGGAAATCACACACTGTGTACAGGCAGACCAGTCAAAGTACTGAGGCTAGTATGCAAACATCCACATCACAACGGAGATTCTTTTAGTACAGCTTCCCATGGTGATCAGGAACTGAATCAGTAGGATACGAATGGCCCATGGAGACACACGCCAAAGTTGAGCCAAGTCTGTAGCTGATTGAAGCTTTTTCTCTCCTCAGTTTACAGCAGTCATTTCACAACTTAAACAGTCTTCCGGAGCTTTATCCCTCTTTATCAGCATTTTTCAGGTAAGCCATTGGTGGAAATTAACCAAGAGAAGCTAACACCCTTAAAGAAAGAGGAGGTTTCCTGACCCAAGGAAGAGGCCTGCAAGTGAAGTGGAACCTCTTACTTGTGGTTGCGGTTCTGCACTGCCTGTTGCTGAACCTGCTGGATCTGCTGAGGGGCTGGTCTTTTCCGAGACTGGTCCATTCCTGACTGAGTCATCCCAGGTCGAACGGAAGGACTGCCGCCGTAACCTGGAGGGCCCATTGCAGGTCCCTGAGGGGTCATGCGGCTGCCCGGCAGCATGCCAGGGCGCTGGGGAAATGAATGCAGAGGAAAATTAATTCTGAAGAACCTTAGGACACCCCACACTCACACTCTTAGAGGAATTTCCTTACAGATATTTTATTCCTATCTGCTTAAGACTTCTGTCAGGGCCAGTTTATAAAGATCAACAGAATCATATGGTATATTTCCCCCCTTAGGCTGTAGCACTTTAGCCTGTACATGGAGGCCCGACTTATGGGAACCCCAAAGGGTTTTCAAGGCAAGAGGTGTTCAGGGGTGGTTTGCCACTTCCTCCCTCTGCCTCCACAAATAAACTTTCTTACACAAAAATACCAATACCTCACGACAGAAGAGAATTCTACTTCTCATTGCCTTGTAATCTTCTGTGTAAAAATGGTTATCCCCCCTCTGTTAAGGCAACAATCAAATGTGCCCTTTCTAAAGTTGGTGCAATGTAAGAAAAAGCCTCACCACTTCAACCTGCCAACTGCATAAAGCTACACTACTTGACCTCCCCCCTGCTCCTACCCCAATAAGCTTCGGCATCTTGGAACCTCAGTAAATGTTACCTGACGTTCAACAAATATACTATTTTGATTCATTGTTGCATCTGGGCTGTTATGGAGAAGCACCACTTAAATTCTGCAGATAAATAAGCGAGTGCCTATTACTACCTGTTACCTTGCCTTACTCACAAGAATTTCAGAGAAGCAGACAAAGCACCCTCTCTTCCATTGTAACCCAACAACAATCCTGCAAGCAGTGGTGCAGTGAGTGTGTACAAAACCAAGCAAGACTTCACACTCCCCAATCAGAGCCCCACACTTAAACCATGGCACCATACTGACAGCCCCTGCCTCAGATGATGCCCTATATACTGGCTGTCAAATCCAGACCCAAGGTAGATCCTCCCCTCCCTTGACCATTCCCTCGCATATAAACTCACTAGGTAGTCTCAGGCCAGTCATTCTCTCTCAGCCTCACTCACCTCGGAGTTTACCTCTCAGAGTTCCCCCCCCCCATTTCATGCCTTACCCCCATATTCCCCTTTATCGCTTAACCAATATTATCCTACGGACGACCCTTCAGCAGCAGCCGCCGCCGCCGCCCTTCTCCTCCATCTTTCTGGAGAGATTTTCCCATCAGCCCTTTTCCCCGCCCACTGCAGCTTCGCCTCCCCCCTCCCCATCTCGCCCTTACACGCCTTTGCTCTGGAAACCCCGCCCCCTCCTCGGCCCCGCCCCTTCTCCTAGCCGGGCCCAGTCGGTACCGGGTATGCAGCGCCGGGCAGAGGCGAGCGGTACATTCCTTGTCCGGGCGCCGGGCCCATTCGAACAGGAGGCCCAGCAGTGCCCGGCCCTAACGCTCCCGCCCCAGGGCCGGCTCCGCCACCGCCGCCGCTCGGAGCTACAGCCTGGAAACCCGCCCGCGCCGCCATCTTCCCTCCCTCAGCAGCACAAAGCGGCCGGGAGCCGGGGGAGGGGGGGGAGGAGGAGGCGGATGTGGGGTTAGGATGATTTAGTTGGGCTTTACCATAGAGAGGTCGCCTATCAGGGGATAGAAAACCACCGAACTGATCATAGAGCTGAAGCCGGAGAGAAGGACGGAAAGGGCGCGCAACTAGGGCTCCACCTGGTGTTCACGGGCTGTCGATGGAGTTCGGAATCTGGGATGTCCTGCACGATAAGAAATGGGACTGCGAGGCAGTTGAGGGTTGCAAAGGCAGGTGTGTTTGGAGCCTCTTTTTTTTTCAATTTTAAGACCAGTCGGAATATTCCCCACCTTCCCACAAGCTTTCGAGAAAGTCTTGATCAGGCTGGCTATTGTAGTAGGGGGGAAACGTGCTGGGGAGAAAAAGATGTTTCAGGGCTTGATGGGAAAAGTCTTTAGCCTGCAGTTTATAAAAATAGAACAACCACAGAATGGGTTTGCAGACTTGATCGGATGTGCTGTTGCAGGATAATGTTCCAGGACAGAAGAACAAATTTAGACTCTAGTGGCACCTTTAAGACCAACAAAGGTTTATTCAAGGTATGAGCTTTCGTGTGCATGCACTCTAAATTTGTTCTGCTGCTTCAGACCAACACAACACGGCTGACCACCTGGATGTACCAGGACAGTGTTGCATATAAGGTCATGCATACAAGCAGGAAAAAGGTAAAAGGAAATGATCATAAGAGGAGAGTTCTTCCAGCAGAAGGCTTCAGAGAATATTCATTGGAAAGAAACTCAGACCTGCCTTCTTGTTGGGTTAGCAAATCTCAGATGCTGTTCTAGATAGATGAGCACATATCTCAGATGAAAAAACCCGCTGATGTACGCTAGGTGACTAGGACACACATATGGGATGAATGAGCTAAATGAACAGGCCAGAATTCCTGAAGACTGGAGATATGGCTTATTAAAGAAATATTAAGAAATATTAAACTAGTATTTCACAAATGCTAGTAATCACATTTAAATGTCAATTGGATTTTTCTATGATCCCCCCCCCCCAGGAAATCTTGGGAATGTGATTTCTAATTGTGGGAAGCAAACTGAGAACGTCCCAGGCATTCAGCATTTTGTCAGAGTATTGGGATACTTTGCTGATATGACACTGGGTCCACCTCATAAAGTGCTGTTAAGTGAGCTCCACACCTGGGACATTCTTGGTTTGCTTCCCACAATTAGAAGAGACACCTTTAGATATTTATTTGCTATTTTGACATATTTATTGCTTTACAAATGTTGACCTTATAACCTTAGGTTGTTATTTAGTTCTGACTTTGCATAGCTTAAACATAATCATGTTTAAACATACTCATGTTAATTTGCTGTTAAGTCCCTATCTATACGTTTGAACCTTACCTACCATTCCAATGTATTTGAAAAAGTGTGGCTTGCATACAAAAGCTCATATCTTGAATAAACCTTTGTTGGTCTTAAAGGTGCCACTGAACTCTGAATTTGTCCTGCTGCTTCATACCAACACGGCTGACCACCTGGATCTATCTTTAAGATTTCTACACTGTACTTTCTACACTGTACTTTTCATACACAGAGAACTATTCAATACATTCATTTCAGCTCCTTGTGATGGAACTTTTCACTCCTCAGATTCCAACACTTAATGTCAAAATTCATATCCAGAATGTAGGGCAGGAACTAGTATATGCTAGCTGCACATGGTACAAATGCAGATGCTAAATATCAAATTGGCATGACTGAAGGACCCATCAGTGCTACATGGATGAATTTCAACAGCTTAGTTCTTCTAAGACAGGCAAGAAACTAACATTTGCTTATAGGGTCAGGGCCGGCTCACTTACTAGGCAAACTAGGCGGTCACCTAGAGTGGGCCGGCCTTTAGGGGCGCCAAACTGCACCTGCCCCCCCCCGACAGGGCGGTGGCGGCGGCCTCACCTTTTACGACCATCTCCTGGGTGGGCGCGGCAGGGCGGCTCCTCTTTGGCAGCAGGGTGTGGAGCAGCACCTCCACCACCTCCGGCCGGGCCAGGGGCGCGGAGAGGAGGCCAAGGGCACGGCACTCCCGGCAGCATGAGGGGCTGCACAGAGCCTCCCAGGTGCCATCCAGCGCAGAGCTCGCGGTCCGGGGAGGGGGCCCATCGGTGCTGCCGCCCTCCTCCCCCGCTGCTGAATGTTCGGTGGGACATCGTGGCCCAACAGGCCCTGCGGAAGGGCACCGGGTCCCATGGGGCGCCGGCACTGTGTTTGTGTGTCCCCCACCTCCTTCACTGTGCCTCCTCCTCCTCTCTCTGAGACTCTCCTGCCGGTGGGGACGGAGCAAGGAGCCCGTGGGGTGGGGAGGGAAGGGGGGGGTCTTCTCCAATGCTCCCTCTAAGCTGCAGAGCTCCTACTTGGTGAGCTCCTGGCATTAAAACTGTGAGCAAGCGATTTGGCTGCTGCAGCATCAATGAGTTTGCTCTTCTGGAGCCTCCCCCCCATGCGCCCCGGTCAGCCTCTCCCCCTCCGGCCCCGCCCCTGTGCATGCCTGGTGGAGGTGGAGGAGGAGGCCCCTGGTTCACAGGCCCCTTTCCTGCACCTAAAAGCAGCGCCCCAGCAGGGCAAGTGCGGTAGCGGTGGCAGCTGGGTCAGGCCAGGCACTTCATTGTGAGTGGAGAGCAGTCAGTTTGTGCGGGCTTCTAAAAAGTGCTTGTGCAGAAGGAACAAGTTCTTCGGGGGGGGGGGGGGGGTGAAAACGAAGGGGCGGCATGGCTGAGAAACTTGTGCCGGAACGACCGATTCTCTCCTCCTCAGTTTTCTCCTGCATCCCCAGGTAGCCAGGCAGGCTTAAAGGCTTTTCGTGTGTGCGTTTGGAAGAACTCCTCCAGGTGAAAGTAAAGGGCATTGAAGCCCTAGTCCGTCGACGTAATACACCCCCACCCACCAACTTGAAAATTGGTGGGCGCACGGGGGTGGGGGGTGGGCGCCAGAAGGGATCCTTGCCTAGGGTGCAAATAAGCTGGGGTCGGTCCTGGGTCAAGTCATGCCAAGTCTTAAAACTTCTGAGTCATCAACCCAAGGAAATGTGCTGGAAATTACCTGATGCCCTGATGTGAGAAGACAGTCTTCCCTGTTGAATTATCTAGAATGGTATCCAGTAAGGTTCACAACAGGATTTTCACTGTAATCCTCCCTGGCAGCTGAGAATTAGGGATGGTATACACAGTGGCTGATGACATTCCTTCTGAAGGCTCCTGGTGTCTCTTATTAGATGCTGATAATCAACAAAGCCCAAAGACGATGGGCCTGCCTTGGATTACCTGATATCCATATGATGGAAGAACACGGGAACCGAAACATCTGGCTTTCCTAAGCATTGTGCTTTGTGCCAAATTTGTTAAAATGGGCAGAGGACGGAAAGATAGAACAGGATGCAACAGGGATTGCATGTTGCCCTCATTCCCAGATCCATCCATTTGACGGATGTTGCAAAAGAGCTGATTCAAAACACTGTTCGCCAGATTTTTTAATTGGAGTTCATTATAGTGCATGTTCTGTTTGACAAGTAATATTCTTCATTATGTGTCTACTAGGAAAAAGGCCCGTTGTGGAAATAAATACAACGATCTCTAGAAAGAGGCTCTGAGCGGGTGCCCCGGCCTTGAACACTCAGTGTCAATTTGCTGTGGCGACCTCAGCAGGGTATAATGACATTGAGTCCACCATTTTCTCCAGAGGAACTGATCTCTGCTACCTAAAGAACAGTTGTAATTTTGAATGCTCTCCAGCCCTCACCTGGAGATTGGCAATGATGGTTCCCCAGAAGGGAATGGTTGGTTTGGAGGGTGGAGTCTATGGCTTTGTACCTGTCCGAGGTCCCACGCCTCCTGAAACCTCACCCTCTCCAGGCTCCATCCCTCACATCTCCAGAAATTTCCCACCTGGAGTTGGCAACCCTATCTCCTTCCCAGCCAATCATCAACCTTTCTTTATTTCCCCCTCACTCTTCAGCTTTCCACCCCCCACACACCTGCAGCCTCTCCTGTGCTCTGAAGCCCTGACTGCTACGTCACATTGGCTGTCATATGGGGGCCACCTCAGCAGCATATAAGGATACAGAGCCCACCATTTTCTCCAGGGGAACTGATCTCTGCCATCTGGAAAGCAGTTGTAATTCTGAGTGATCTCCAGCCTTCACCTGGAGATTGGACACATTTTACCTCAGAACAGCAAAACTGTTTAGAATGTTAGAGGCAAAAGCCAATCAAGTTGCATATGCAAACAACCTCTGTGTTCTGACTGGCTATGGGCGGGGGGAGGAACAGCAAACTGTTTAGAATGTTGGAGGCAAGACTCAAGCAATGCAGCCAATGAATAGGGACAGATTCTGAGTGAAACACCAGGGCGCCAATTCCGGAGCGTGTGGAATGTTCTAGAGAAGTGCCACCACCATTCGGCTTTTATATATAAGGGAGATATGTATACGCTTGGGTCTGATTTCTGTGGCACCAGCTGGGAAGCAAATTTTAATGCCCAAGGCTGTTTGTCTGGGAACCTCCATCCTTCCCCTTCTGGAAGTTGCCCATATAGCACTTGCCATGACTGCAACCCATATTTCCCTTTCACAGCTTTACCATATAGTCTTTGGTAGAGTTCTCAACCAATAACTTACACCACATTGATTCAAGTGCCAACTTTTTAAAAGAAAACTTTTAAAAATAGAATCTTAGGAATAGTGGCAAAGGGCCCCTTGCTGCCTGTCAGGACCATTCCCACATTAGCCGTCCCGCAGATAAATCCATACATTCCAGATCACTGTATATTTTAGGTTTGTGCAAGCTGAGAATGGCCAAGCTGAATGCAGCCCATCAGCTGAGTCCAACAGTCTACTGATTCCTTGACCCACCTCCCCATTTTTGCAGTCCCAGAGTGTCAGCAGAACAGGGTTTCCAGGTCTCTGGTGGGCCACCATTCATCATTATATTCATGGTTGTCTTTAGCCAAGTCTGCTCCCA